AGACTGCGCCCCTTGCTGTGCATCCCCAGGGCATCCAACAGACACTCGGAAAAGACCAACGTGCAGATGCAAGACAGGGAATCAACTTTACAGAGAGGTCAAAACCCATCAGATTCCTGTAATCACAGAATCAAAGAACATCAGCAATATGGAAAGAACTGAGCCCAGGAGAAGCCTAACAACCTGCCCAAAGCCATGTAGCGATTTAACGGCAGAGGCTGAAATTGATCTGTCAGCCCATGAGAATGCCAGGCTCTCACACTGTTGCAGAGCTCCCTGGCGGAGGGCAAGTCTCCTGGCCTTTTGGAAGCTTTTGAAATATGCCTCGGGCACCAGGAGCAGATACTATGGGTGCTTTTCTTAACGTTCCAATCAATATTTACTGGAGAAGAGATTGTCACCTACCCTCTTCATTACCTGCAGGAATTACGGAACCACTGACTCTCTCCACCTCGCCACCCAGGCCTCTGAGATGAGAGATTTGCTGCCTGCTGGAGGAAATCCTTCCCGTGTCTCCGAAAGCTCTCAGATTCCATCTCGCGGATGAATCGACAGAGTTTCCATGCTGCTCACGTATATTAAGGAGGACTTTTGTTGAAGAAACATACTTTGTAGTTTTGAGAAGTTGGGACTTTCGTTTAGAGACTGACTTAAATGCAGTTTGAAATTGTGACTTTTAGACACAGCATTGCATAAAAAGCTCCCACTCTACCAGGTAACAAAACCTTTTCGATAAGACTCCAGGCTTGGCATCGCCAAAGCAGTGAGCCAGTTGGTGCATTTGTCCCTCACTGCGGGCACACAGCACAATGCCATGGCCACATGGCCTCAACAAGACCCCAAGGAGCTTGATTCAACCCCACTGGTGCCACAACTCTGACGCACAGAGATGGCAGTCAAGTGGGGGAAGAGGGGGTCCCAGGTCAGCGATTTGCAAGCAGAGAGGGGAAACCAAGCACAGCTTGGATGGGATCATGCACCTGCCCTACACCCCTCAGCAAGTGCCGGCAGCCTGCAGTGAGACACACAGAATCCTCACCAGGCCTCCCAAGGCCCTTACAGTAGGGTTCTGACATATTTGCCCTCATTACTCTCTAGTTCCCCATTCTAGGTACTCTGTTCTAGGTCATCCTCACTCTCTGGCTCCCCGCAGGTACTCTGCTCTAGGTCATCCTCACTCTCTGGCTCCCCGCGGGTACTCTGCTCTAGGTCATCCTCACTCTCTGGCTCCCCGCGGGTACTCTGCTCTAGGTCATCCTCACTCTCTGGCTCCCCGCGGGTACTCTGCTCTAGGTCATCCTCACTCTCTGGCTCCCCGCGGGTACTCTGCTCTAGGTCATCCTCACTCTCTGGCTCCCCGCGGGTACTCTGTTCTAGGTCATCCTTACTCTCTGGCTCCCTGCAGCCACGTCATTCTAGATAAACCAGACTGTTTGCTCTCCAGAACAAGACAAGCACTTGACTGTCTCCACACTTTGCACGAGGTGTCTCTCCCCCTCAGGCTCCAACCAGCCCTCCCACAGATACCAGCCTAAGGGCCACCTCTGCTCTAGAGCCTTCGTTGATTTCTCCCCCAACCTCTTAGACCACCTCCAAATGGTAGTGGCCTCCACTGCCCTGAGACTTTGCACTGCTATGAGCACCCTGGTCATTGTTTTCTAAGCAGTGGGGCAGGGATCTAGGACTCCTTTCCTGTTGGTGGTCAACAGCAGCAGAGTGTCTCCAGTGTGTCACATGCTGTCCTGAGTGCCTGAGATGCAGAAGTGAATGAAGTCCAGGTTCTTGCCTTCAGCGGGCTGACGGTCCAGTGGGTGGCCAGCTCTATGACGGAGGGTCATACGTAGTGCAGTAGGGGCCCAGGCAAGGGCACAGGCCAGGGGCCAAGAAAACATGAAAGACATGATGGCACTTTGAGTTTGGCAGTGAAATTTGTTCACTGGGCAGGAAACCAGAGAGTAAGAGAGGGTTCTTAGAGGTAAAAGAACATTATACACAACAGCACCCAGCACAGGGCATGGACAGGCACACAATATCTACTGAATGAATAAAGCAAAGGCCTGGAAGGTTCTGGCACTGTCCTAGCCCCCACCTCATTGCTCCTGCATTGACAGAGTGCCTGCGTGGTTTCCATCCCACACACCAAGCCCTGCCATTAGGTCCCCGGTTCACACAGGGGGGCACTCAGGCTCCCACGGCCCGAGGCCACCAGCCTGCAGACAGGCGTGCTAATGAATCCGCCCTCGGGGACTGACTGACAGAGCTAACTCTCAGCCTCCTTCCAGTGCGGTGTGGACCCTGCAGGCAAAACCCGGGCAAGGGAACCCAGGAGGGGAGGGAAACGCTGAAGCAGGCTTGGGCCAGTGGGGTCTGTGTCTCCCTGTAAAGCTGGTGTTAGCCCCTCAGGGATTTGGTCTTAGTGGCCACAAATGAGGGCCCTTCTTCCTCATTTACAAAAGACAGCCTGGAATAGCCACCCACAAGTCACCTCAGGCCACCCTGGGCCCACAGAGCTCTCCAAGGATTTAGAGAATGGAAGCGAGTTCCCTTTCCAGGACAAAGTTTCTTTTCTGACAGTTCTCTGCCACCTTCGCCTTTGTCCGGTCATGTCCTCAGTTCCTCCCCTTTCTAGCTCAGGATTTTTCTGAAATACTTGTATCAGATACATGCTTTTTTCCTCCTGGCAGAAACATCAGTATCTTGCTATTGTGCTGTTTCTTTTCCCCTTGAAAACAAACATGAAAATCCGCATTTCAGAACAGTGTCTATTAAATACGTATCCTTTTTGTGGACAAAAACTAAAGCAAAAAAAGAAAGCCCTCCGTGAGGGCGGGTTTCCAGATCCGTGGATCACGGGCATGCCATGAGACCTCCCCCACACCCTGTCCCTGGCACCTGGGGACTGGGAGTGAGTCTGGGCCACAAACAACTTGTTGGAGGAATGTCTTGGTCTAAAGCACTGCTAATCAGTGTGGTCCTCAAAACATTAGCAACACATCCGCTGGGAGCATGCTGAAATGTGGCATCTTCCATGCCAACCCCCCACACCAACCAGAATCTGCTTTTCCGTACACTCCCAGCAAATGGGTCTGCACATCAAATCTCAGAAGAAGGGGCGCAGAATTAAGGGATTTGCCTTTGTGACCATCCTGGGGCCTGCACCTGGGTTTCTGTCCCGAGAGAGAAGTCGCTGTGTAGTGTCCTCTGCAGAACAGCCCCAACGCCCTTTGCATCCAAGCTGTTTATTCAGGAGGCATTTTGAAATGATTGATCCTCTCCCAGAAACCACGCGGGCAGCCCGAAGGAGTTCAAGATGAAACCGAGGTGGTGGCCAGCCTTTCCACGGTGTGGGAGTGCCTGAAAAGGCCCAGCTCTGAACAGTGACAGGCCAGCGCTCACTCCCTCCTCCCTCGGGGCTCTGCATGCCTGTGCTTGATGTCTTCTCTCTCCGAAGACCAGGGGTAAAGGACGTGTGGTGTGACCGCACAGTGACTAACTTGAGCCTGAGGGACCATGCCGAGCACTGAGCTGAGATCCTTGAGGAGAACCTCTGTGAGCACAAACAGCAGAATCAGGGGCACAGCCACCAACCTCCAACCAGGCTGTGCTCCCTCCCAGCTCACACTTCCAATGACAGCTGTCAAGAGCTTCATAGAAAAACCCTGATTATCCGTCACTCTACGGGAGAAATGCACCGAGAGGATGGAAAGATCTCACGGATCTGGTTTGAGGGATCAAAGCCTGAACAGGGGTCGGGCTGGGGGAGAAGAGGGAAGGGAAAGGCTGGCCCCGTGGGGTGCCCTCCTGCCCACCAGAAGCTGTGACCGCAGCCCCGGCAGGCCACACAGCTCCTGGCCAGTGTCCCATTCGACCGCATCCTCTCTGAAGAAGAAATCTGTCTCAGGGACATTTCTATAAATCTAAGAGCACCAAAAAAAGTTGCCCCTTATTAGAAAATCAAACAGAGCCAAAATCCTGTCCCCAATGCAAAGCGTCTTCTCACTAATTCTGAGACATACACATCCCAGAAAGCTCCTTGATGCTCGAAACCTCTTCCAGATCGCTCAGCAAAGTGCCCGAGTTATTGATTACCTGACCTGTTATCCCCTCCCCCACTTTTGCTAATTTGTATTCATGCCTTCCCCTCTTCACCGTCCTTCTCTGAAACAGCAATCTTTTAAAACAGGAAATGGCTTACAGATATCAATCAATACCTGTTTTTCCACCAATTATCATTTATTTATATATGGACAGTAGTTCAGCTATGGAAACAGGAGTCTGCCCTTCTTACAGGCGAAGAGCGCTCCCAGAAATGCACAGCGGACAGCGATGACCCACAGCAACGAGCTGGCAAATGCAGACGGAGACCCCATCCGTCTTCCTCCTCCACCCCCTCCCCCACAAAACCCAAAACGCTGTAGATTGGTCACTTAATCGGAAGCTACGATTTTATTTCCTCCAGCTTCCACTGCCCACACAAGCCCCCCTAAATCAGACCTATAGAACCAAAGCCATCCCCGCATCCCTGCCCCGCCCCCAGTATGCGCAGACGGAAATACACCACCTCCCAAGGAAAGAGAAAGTTAACTTTCCCACAACCCGGTCCTTCCACCAGCCTGGCCCGTTCTCAGACCTCACGCGCTCACAAAGGGGGTGCTCACAACTCTAGCCTTAAACCCAGGGACTGGGACACAGACAAGAGCCAAAGGTCTGCAAACAGACGCTAAGAACAAGGGCACCCCACTTCCCCTCTCCGGCTCCTTCCTGGCGAAGGTGAGGATAATGGACCAGGTTTATTGTCCCCCCCCCGCCCCCCTCCCCACCAGGGACCAGGCCCGAGGCTAGTGGAAAGCTCCAGACAGAACACAGGGCGCCTCTGGGCGCTGGGCGCTGGGGAGCTCCGGGGGTCGCAATCTGAGAGTGGTCTAAGGCCCTCGTGCACGCACCCCGCAAGTCCCGCCCGGCCGGCGCCCTCCCCACGCGCGGGCCCTGCGGTCACTCACCGCCCGTGAGCTGCGCGGGGCCGAAGCACAGCGCCAGCTGGAACCACAGGACCGCGGCCAGGAGCCTGCGGGGGGGCGGCGGCTGCGGCGGCGGCTGCTCCAGGAATCCGTCTCCCGGGCTCGGCTTCATTCCATGATGCATCTTTCATCCACCGAGGGCATCCGGCTCTCGGGCGCCTGCAACCGGGAACGGACGCGGCGGTGCCCGGGGCCGTGGAGCCGCCCTCCTCCTGCGCCGGGACCCCCTGCCCACCCCCCTCCGCCAGGACCCGAGACCCCCACCACGACCCCCCACGGAACCACCTACCCTTCTCTCCTCCGCCGGGACCTGACCTCCCCCCACGACCCCCCACAGGACACCCCCACCCCGTCTTCCGTCGTTTGGGATCCCCGTACCCCGCCCCCATCCTCTCCGGGACCCCTCGCACGCCCCTTCCGCAAAGACCCAAGCCTCCCCCACGACCCCCCCCAACCCAGTCTCCCCTCTGCCCGGACCCCCGCCCGCCCCCGCCGCGGGACCCCTTACCCCGTCCCCTTCCGCGGGGACCCGAGCCCCCTCCCACGACCCCCAACGGGAACCCCCCCACCCCGTCTCCCCTCCACCCGGGCCCCCACCCCTCCCCCAGACGCGCTTAGCGCAAGTCTGCGCCGCTGGGCGCCGAGCGTGAGGACCGCGGGGGTGGGGTGACCAGGCGGGGGTCGCGCCGGGACCGCGGCCGCCAAGTCCGCAGCCTCACCGCGTCCCCCGGCCGCACAAGCACTTTTCCCAGGGCCTATGCGCGTCACTCTCGGGCATCTCGCGGCGCGGCAGCGGGTCCCGGCAGCGACCTCTCCTCACCCATCCCGGCGTCCTGCCCGGGATCGCGGGGGTCCCCGCGCCGCCCGCTGCCCGGCCGCGGGCTCCCGCGCTCACCTGCGGGGCTCCCCGGGCAGCCGCCTTCCCGCCTCCGCCTCCGCCCCGCACAGCTCCGACCCGCATCTGTGCGCGACCTCTGCCGCCGCCGCCGCCGCCGCCGCCGCCGCGCGAGCCAGACGGAAGCCTCGGCGGCGCCCGCGCCCGCCCCCCGCCCGCGCCCCCCCCTCCGGCTCCCGGGGCGCTTGGGCGCGGGGGGTGGGGACGCCGGCCCGGCCGCGCGCCCGCCACCTGAGCTCGCGAGCGCGGCGGGGGCGGGGGCGCGCACGGACACGCGCGCTCGGGGCGGGGCCGCCGCGGCGCCGCGACCAATGGGAAGCCCGCGCGCCTGCACCTGCCAGCCCCGCGGCCTGCGTGGCCCCCAGGCCCAGGGAATGGGAGGCCTGCCCCAGGGAGGGACGCGCGACGAGCCGGCAGCCTGCCCCCGCCGAGGCTGCGCGTGTCCCCTGGGGGCCCGCGTGGCGACGCAGGCGGCTGAGACGATCCCCCTCCCCTCACGCTTGCATTCGCCCTACGGGATCCGCGGGCGCCAACCGAAATTCCCGCCCTGGAGACGGCCTGGCCCCTCCGGGCGTCCGCGCGGGGCGGGGTGGGGAGAGAGGAGAGGGGCTGTCCGGAGAGGAAAGAGGGTTGTGGTCCGTGCAGCTGCAGAAGACTGGGTACCCGGAGAGGGGAGGCCTCTCCAGTGACGGGTCGCAACCTAAGGGTGTCAGGCTTGACACAGGCTTGACACAGGCTCCCTGTGCCTCAGGGTGTGCCCTGGTGGGGATCTTGGCGCGCAGCCCCCCACCCGCAATGGTGCGGCCCTTTCTCCCCCACCCCCCACCCCCCACAGTGCCCTCGTCCCCCCACCCCGTCACCACTCTTCCCCCACCCCCTCCACACTCCCCACTCTCTCCCCTTCCCACTCCCCCACCCCCTAGTCTGCCCGGAGACAACCACCCCCCGCCCCCCCGCAGATCTCCCTCCCCGAAAGAGGCTAAGCTTCCCTCTAGCTGGGCAGACGAAGAAGGTGCCAGTAGGCGGCATGTCAGAACCAGTGACAGCCCGTTATTCTAACGCAACTCGCGAACCAAAAACCGTATTTCTGTTACCGCCACCAAATCGTCCCTTGCTTCTATCCGCCTTGCCAAAATCTCACACGGACCGACGGTCCCAAGGAAATTATGGTTTTTACCGTGTCGTCTTTTACTGAGAGTAATTTTAACCAATTCTTTCAGGATAGTTTAGCTTTTAGTAGATAAATCGTGCTCAGTATTTATTTATTAGTTTATGCTTTGTCACACTGAAATGGTGGCTTCCAGGACAGTTTGGGATTTTGAGCCGCACAAGCTGATTCCTGCCAGGCTTGTCCTCAGGGGTCTGGAGCTCAGGAGGGCACCCTTCCACATTCCCCGGGTCCTACGACTGACCTACACGGTGTGAATGCTGATTTCGCTTTTCTCCTTGGTTAATTTACTAAGGCTCTTCTAATAGCCGTCAGATCGACAAAGCTAAAGAATATCTGTTGCCCGTGTGGTTGTTACAGTCATAGGAGATACGGTCTAAGTACTTGTGAACTCAGTCCTTCATCCAGAGGATGCCCCTTTGGTACAGAGAACATCAGCACTGAAAGGAACATCCAAGTTTACCTGGTCCAAATGGGGGATCTAGGCTGGGGTCCTCCCTCTGACATTTCCAACCTGTGGCCATCCAGCCCCAGGGACTCTTCCTAAGGGAGCGAGCAGCTCACTTAGAAAAGCCTGCTGTGTCCTGAACTGAAATTTTTACCCACAGCTTCTGGTGCTGCCCTCCTGGCCCACACAGCTAAACTGAATCCACCTTCCTGAAGGCAGCCCTCCCTTCCCCTGCAGATGGCTCCGTGTGCCCTTGAGCCTCCCTCTCCGGTGAAACAGGGCCACAGCCCACAAGACCATCACATAGTCTCTCTCTGATTGCAACCCAGTTTCTGACCAGCACATGGCAGGGCTGACAAGTCATTCTGAATAATCCGCTTCTGTTAATGCAACTTAAGAAAACAGAACATGTGGGTGGCCGCTATGGCGTACCAGTTGTAAGTTTTCTACAGTATCTCAGGTCTGCTCGGGAAGCCGTGGTGAGATCCCACAGCAGAGAGGTCTGTTTCCTCACAGTCCTGGAGGCTGAGGCTCGAGATCACCGCGTCAGCAGGTGTGGTTTCTTCAGAGGACTCCTCCCCAGCGAGTAGATGGCCACCTTCTCCCTGGGACCTTGAGCTGTCCCTCTGTGCGTGCGCCTCGGTGTCTCTCCCTCCACATCCTCTGCCTATAAGGACTCCCCCTAACCACCCTATTTGAACTTAATTACCTCTTTAAAAAGCCCTCTCTCCAAATGTAATCACATCCTGAGGCACTGGGGGTTAGGGCTTTGAGGAGACACGATTCAGCCCATAACATCTCACAACGAAAATAAGAAGTGTGTGTTGCACTCATCTTACAGGTGAGGATGATGAAGATAAAGGTCAGTCCATTGACTCAGGAGCACCCAGCCAGTGAAGGCCTCGCATAAACTCCACGCTCGTACCTTCCACCAAACAAGCCACCCTGAATACGTCACGACTGGATTCCCCCCGAGAAGAGGAACAGAAGGAGGCTGGATAGCGTGCAGACCCCTGCCTAGAGGGGAAAGGCTTCTTTAATCTCTCTTCCTCCCTCACAGAGGCGTCACCTCCAAAACCAATGGGCAGGGATCTCCTCCCAAACACAGGAGAGCTCCAGGGGCCTTCCTGGGACCACCAAAGACCCCCACCCACCCAGGGACCCCACCCCTTGCCCCCACCCCCCACCCGTGAAGTTCCTCGTTGTTTCCACTCACTTCCCCCTTCCATCTGCCGTCGTCCCCCCGCCCACCCAGGGGCAGAGACTGCGATTTCACTTCCAGTGGCCAGTAGTGTTTCGTTTGTGAGCAGGGAAGGGACACGGTGAGTCTCGAACAGGAAGTGGCCACAGGGACCGATGTCCAGCATTGCGCCAGCCCTGTGTCCTACGTGTGGTCCCTTCTGCTCTCCCCCGGGGCCCTCTCAGAGCCCCCAGGCACCGGCTGCACAGCCCCCAGACAGCACCTCCACCACAGAACACGAGACAGACCACTAGCTTGCCAACACCCACCTTCCATCCACCCAGCACGAGCGCACGGGGCGGGGGGGTGGCTTGCCTGCCTGGCCCACCCGTGGCTGAACCCACACAGCCTGAAACACAGAGGGGCAATGAGGACGTTTGGCTGAATTAATTAGTATTCGAAGGAAATTCCTCCCCGACACTGGCAACCAGAGACTAGCCAGCCGACCTTCCGTCTTCTCTGCATCCGGAATCCTGCATGTCCAGGGAAACACACAACCAGCCGGAGCCCATCAAAGAGCACAGAACATGCTAGAACATCGCATGGATGCTGTGTGTGAACGCGGCTCTAGAATTCTCGAAGCGTCTGATGCACCCACCACCTCTGTCCCGGATGGATAACACCCTCGGGGAGGAGATGAGCTGTGGTCTGTGGGGGAACAGTCACCTCGCACACATCCTGCTGCCCACACAAAGTGTCCTGGTGGGTCCTGACACGTTCTAGCCACTGTGGTTGGAATGGAGGCTGCGGGAACAGAGAAGATGCATCCACATCTTCAACAAGACTGTGGGGACAGTGACAAATGTCTGTGATTAGTGTCACCGGGCAGGTGTAGGGCCGGAAAGCCCAGAGGAGGAGGTGTCCTGGCAAAGGACCCTGGAGGTGACCCGTATGTCATATGAATGTGTGTGTGAGGGAGGGGAGAGAGGTTCAGGGAGCATCCTGGGCTCAGCCCTTGTGAAGACCAGGAGGCCGGTTGGGGGGCAGAGACCAAGGAGAGAATTTAGAAAGCAGGGAAGCACCATGGAACGTTCCACGGTGAGAAGGCTCACCAAGCATGCAGGGGGGCTCCTGTGTAAGACAGAGATGGGAGTGTGTGCGGGAGTGGGAGGGGACCAGGAGGAAGGCCCCAGGGACGTGGACGCCCCCCCGCAGCACAGTCTATCACGGCATAGCAATGACCACTGTTTTCACCCGTCGGATGGACTACGGATGTGGGTCTGACAATATCAGGTGTTTGGTGACCAGGCAGGGAGAAGGGTCCGGGAACCCACGGGAGGAGGGGGGGATGCAGGGGGGGACTGTGAATTGCTGTGTAGTAACCGTGTATTTGTTTTCTGTGCTGGTACATGGACACTGGGGCCTTGCTGACCCCAGAGGGACGGCCCTTCCCAGGGCTAGCGGGTCCCAGAGCCCACACATCTCACCACCCCTTTCACAGGCTCTCACTCTGGGCCACTCTGCCCCCTGCCCCCTGCCCACCCCAGGGCCAGCACCAGCACCAGCAGACAGGCCCTACACCCCGGAACCCCGGAAATTACTCAGACCTGCCTATTCTAAACCTGTTCACCTTGCCTCACCCAATCCCATGAAAACCACCATGCAAGCCCTTGCCCGCCCCCTTTCCCCTGCCCCCTGGCCAGCCGGTGCATCCCTGCGTGTCTCCTGTGAGTGGCCACCCCTCCTGTTTTTAGGGAAATGCGAGCATGGAAAACGTCTTCTTTCAGGAGGGTCATTTCCTCATCTGCACGTCTGACCACAGCGACTGCAGCAAAGCCCAGGCGCCCTTGAAGCTTGTGCCTGGAGGAGGGCGGACCTCCCTCAGCGGCTCGCTCACTGTCTCTCCTGGATGAGCCCGGGGGCTCCACCAAACAAAGAGGAAGGAGACGATGTCACTGCCGACCCCGCAGGATGCAGGACACCAGTGGATCATGCTTTGGAAGTGTCCAGACGGGTAGATCTGGACACGTTCGCTGCAGGTACTTTTGTGATGGTGGAAAATCAGGAACAGTCCAGTGAGCGGTGGTGTAGGCACTGGGGTGGGGGGGGGGTTGCTGTAGCCTCGAGGAGGGAGTTAATCTCCATGTGGGAGCCCACGGTTGACGGAGCAAGTCATGGAGCTGGATGTGCGGCCAGATGTGGTTTCTGGGGAAACAGTAACATACGTTTTCTGTGGAGAAATGTGAACACCGAAGAGAGAGATGTGACTGACAGCAGACGGGGTCACGTCCAGGTCAGTGAGAGCAGGTGGAATCAGCCAGGAGAGGTGGTCCAAGGGCACTTTTGTTGAATTTCTATGACTTTCATTTTGTTTTCATTATTTTATTTAATTTATTTGTTTGGATTC